TTAATGCAACATCCCTTAACCCTGGGATTAATAAACTCTATTTGCTAACCTTACCTCTGCTCACATCTAAGGTTATAGTCTCCTTAAAGACTTTGCTACAGACAGGACTAGAAGTTCCTTCTGTACCTATCCCCCAAGATTTCCAGCCAAACTCCTCAGAGGCACTACTGTCAGAAGTCAAGATGAAGACAGAGAAACAAATGCTTGTATGTCACGTTAGTCTGTGCAACACTTCTCCCTGCCAAAAAAACCCAGCAGCTCAGAGCCGATAAGGTCACAGGCATTGGCTGGAAGAAACACAAGTGGCTCTGGTGAAAGACTCACAGACAAGCAGAGTGGGAGGGGAAGTTAGGGCTGGAAGCATTAGCTTAAAAGGGACACCTTCAAAGCCTAGCCATTTTAGTGGTACTTTATGGTAATGACAGTGTAGTTGCTTGTGACATGCAGAACAAGTCACACCCAAGAGGCTAAAGGCTCACTTCAGTTCTGAAGTGCTCAGGAGAGTCAAGGACATTTTCCCAGAGCTGCCATTGTTGGTTTCCACAGAGAAGTTCAGGGTCAGCATGGGACTGGTTCCGTCTGCACCCACAAACACCAAGCCCTATTTCCAACTCCTTGGAGGAATAGCTGCACTCCAGGGATTTTGGCTGCTCTTGTCTTTGGGATGAGAGGGTCAACATCCAGAGGTTCGTGAGCAGTTAGTGCTCCTCTCACCCCTCAGTTGGAACCCTCTCAAGAAGTGGAGCAAGACACTCTTCTGGATGAAGGCAAGCAGTGGCAGTGGCCAGCTACCTGCAGGCCTGCACTGCTGAAAGAAGGCAGAACTCTTGCTGACTAGATCAGAGAGAGAGGGGGAAAACATTTAACCTTGTTTTTTCTCTGCCATCTGCACTTCAGTATCACTGGCAAATGCAAGCTTTCCATGACAAACCTAGGCTAGAGTTAATCCCTTATATAGTCATTCAAGCTAGATTATACCAGAGAGAATAACAGATGCAATAACTCTGTTCTTCCAGTATTTTTTTTTCCCTGTCTAAGAGGAAGGCAGACATTGCTATTCCAGTCTGGCAGACCCCAGTTCATCCACCCCTGATCAGTGACCCAGGGACACAGTCATCTAAGTGTGGCCATTAACCACCTCTTCATGTCATGCCAGCTCAGACAGGCATGTGTGCCTGTTCCAGCTGGAGTCCTCTGTGCTTTGCAGTGTGTTCTCCAGGACAGGGGAAGAACAGAGCAGAGATGTCATGAGTGCAGCATAGTCAACAAAAGAGGAGGCTGCTTCAGACTCAGACCCAGGGTTCATGGAAGGGCCAATTCCTAAAGTGAGACCCTGGGATCTAAAGAAATTTGTGTATTGAGACCAAAACTACCCTCTCCTAGCTCTGAAGGAAGGAAAAAGCAACAGCTACCTCTCTTTGAGGTAGTGGAAGTGTCACATTGCATTTTTGTTATGTCATTTTACCGAACAGTTTAAAGAAAAAGCCAGGCCTTCTGCATGAGAAGCAGTTAGAGAACCCAATTTTTGCTTCAAAGGGAGTGTGTTCAGAGACACAGCCAAGCTGGTCAAAGGAAAGCATGCACATAGTCTAAACAACCTGAAGTATTTCAAGTTTAAAATAAACAAAACCCCACACATACAAAAGACCCGACTGCCGTCTGTCCCAGACCAATAGGGAGGGAGAGAGAGAGTTAATAGAGAAATGTATTTTTTAAAATTTACATTAGGGAGAGGATGTGGGCAGGCTCCATTTGCACAACCTAAAATTTCAAGAAAGTCCATCTTTAATCCTTCCTGTAGAGGGAAGACAGTACTACCCACCACAAGTGGCCACAGAGATGCTGCTGCACCTCTGATAAGTAGCAGGCTACATTCTCACTGACAAGGGGCAGGTCACACAGGTGGTGCTTTTGGGTAAAATACCACATTTCATTTCCATTTAATTTCACAAAAACTACACATACACGAATGCAGCTAAGAGCCCTACCAAAAACCTCACTCCCATTAGTTCAGCTAAAAGGCAGGCAGTCAATTATCAAAGCCAGAAGAATCTTCAGCTTTCCTTCCTAGCTTCTCTTTAGAAGTGACAACTGTTCTGAAGTCAGGTCAGATTTATTTGTATGTTTTAATCCAATTTTGAAACCCACTATAGTAATTAAGCAATATATTAATGTGGTTTTGAATGAGGAAATACAAGGTGAAGCAACAGACAACCAACAGACCATGTCTAAAGCCACTAAAGGCTGCTTAAGAAACATTTTCAGTATGAGCAGTTTTAATCAAATTACAGAATTGTTACTCTAGTCAGAGCCTTGGTGACCTCTGGTTTGAGGAAAGACCACAGCCCAGACCCTCCAACTCCAGGTATCTCCTCTGAAAACTCAAAATCCTTCCAATTGGCAAAAGCTTCTCAGGGCAGAATTGCCTCCTTGGCTTGGCACAGAGTCACTATTTTAATCAAGCCGCTACATTATTTGACCAGTTTAGTTTGGCAGCTTCCCTGACAGACATAGGAGCTAGATAAACAGGGAAAAGCAGTGCTGGATGTTCCTCTCATCGCTTCACAGACCTGAAAGAGACCCATACATTAACTGCTGCCATGCCCCTGCAGCCAGTGAAATAAGTTGTTTTACTTAAGTCAGTATGTCTAGAACTGGGATGGAAGCCCTTCCACAACTGACCCCAAGAGAGAAGGTACTGAGGAAAAGCAGCAAGCTGGCATGGTCTTAGAGGTAATCAACCTTCTCACCCATCACAGCCATCAGCTAGGCAAGTTAGGCTAGGGCAACTTAATCTTCGGTTAACAGAGGAACTGCCAGAAGATGCTTAACAGTCTAGCCCCAGAAAGTAACTTCATTTGCATCTCCACAACAGAGAATGCTCTCTGCTCCTTTGTTACCCATTTGACTTGGAAAACCTTGTTTGTCTTACAAGAAGAGATTCAACCAGGTCAGCAGGAGACAGGCTCAAGCTCTGTGCTGCTATAGACAACTCAGTATGACAGGCTTTCATAAGCATTTGGTTTCTTCATTCTCAAATCTGCAATCCAAGATGCTTTGAGCAGCCTTTTAAAGTTTTTTTTGTTGTTGTTGTTTTTAAGGAAAAAGTTCATACAACATGCTTTAGTATATACCTCAGGTAAAGGAGCTAAAGCTATCAGCTGTTTCTGGCAGCAAAATCCTTGATCACACTACACTTCAGTTTCCTAACTTAAATGTATCTTTTATACATTTGTCTATCTAAGAAACTGCAAGAATTATAAGGGAGTTATTAATATAGTTATGTCTCTCCAAAGAAGAAAGGATGATTAACTAATTAAGTAAATTAATCATATTAAGTGAGAGAATAATTTAGAATCCACAGTGACCTTCAAGTCAGAAGTTGCTTGTTACATTTCCTTGCCACTGTACCATCATTAGAGATATTATACACCATAACACTTACTCCTCCTCAAGCAGCACAAGATTTGTCAAGAGTTACAGCAGGGACAGGCCAGATGTGGGTCTGGTGGTTACACTAGACTCTAACCAAATAGTTTCCATTAAAATAAAATAAAAACAAATCCATATCATATACTCAAGGACTTAATGGTATAAGATACATATTACATTTTCAGATTATTGCTTCTCATAGCTAACAAAGTAATTTTGAGCAAATTATTCCCTCCAGATAGAAATTCATTCATTTAAGGATTATCAGAGATTTTTTTTCCTCAAGACATATTCCTTTAATATTCATTAAATATCACAACTGTTTCCTGCAGCAGAACCACATACAGAAAGCATAATCTCCCAAAGTCACAAGGTTAACACGAAACTGCATTGCAAAGCTAAAAGCAAACTAGAATAGAAGCTCAAAAGTTTCACACTAAGTACACACAAACAAATAAATAAAAGGACTTACATAAATCAAATCTTCTGTCACAAGAAAGAGCAGCCACTTCCTTCACATCTGCTCCTTTACTCCAGCCCCCTCAAAAGACCACCTTCACTCTGCCACTGCTCCTTTTGTGCAGAAACCACTAGTGCAGCTTTGCTCCCTCTAGCCATTTGTCAATCAGTGGAAGCTAACAAGTTCAGCCATACCACTCGAGGTGTCTAATTAAACCCAGGCGTTCTGAAAGAGCCAAGCTAATGGAATTAATGCAACTCATTATGCTGGGAATCCTCTGGTAACTTCTAAAACTGTTTATGCCCATGCTCCAAACTCTGTAAAGCATTGGATCCCCACAGTCTCTGAAGAAACCACAGGGATCTGTGCAAGAGTTCCGGGCTGGTTTTGAGAAGCAGCCTCACATACTGTGTGTTCTAACAGTCCAACTGCACAAAGACCTGAACACCTATGGCAAGGTGTGTATTGAAAGAAATATTCTTGTTTTAGTGTTGCAGAAACAACGCTGCTGTTTGCATTTGATTCCAGCTGTAGTAGAGGCAGGCATGCATATGGTGAAAAAAACTGAGACTTTTCCTTTTTTTGCCTTCTCCGGTCCTTAGCATCACCGTTGTTGCTGTCAGGAATAGAGCGATGATTGCCAATCATCCTGACCATTATGTTCGCTTTTGGACTGAAACAATTCACAGCTTATCTTGCTTTTGCTGCCAAAAAGGTGCCACCTGGTCATGGTGATCTGCCTCTGTCCCCTAGGCCTGGCTTTGCTTCAGCAACTGAGATAGAAAACCACAGCTAGTCCCTGCAGGTCCTTACATATGGGCAAAATAATGTGTCTCATATAAAATAATTGAAAATATAATAAATCAGTCTCAGAACAGTGGACTCTCCACACCACTGCATTGTATGAATAGCCTGTTCAATACCTGGGGGCGATCTTGTAGCAGGTCAGTGGAACAATAGTGCCTTGCTGCTTGCTTAGCATGTGCCCTTTCCCTGCTGGTCCTTGATGGTCTGCCAGTTCTGGAGGCACAGCTTTCTGGGGGTCACACTTTCCACTGACACCAGTACGGATGTACGGTAACTGCTGTGTTTACCAGATTTTTTTCAGATTTACACCAGCACAATGGAGCTCAAAATGCCAATGCACGTCAGTGCAAAAAACAAGCCTTTGCAAGACTTTTTGAGGTGCCACCTTCTGATCGATCATCGGAACAGGTTAGAGTGTCCATTGGCACCAGGGGTGCTCACATTTACATCACCTCCCCTTGCACTGACCATTGTTTCCTCCCTGTATATAAATACACACTACTTCTCATTATGAAATGTGAGCAGCCCATGCAAGTATGGTAAGTCAGCAGCTTACAGTGTGTGTGCGTGCATGTGTGTGTGTATACTGGAAGTGTTTGTTAATCTGAGTTTATTTGGAGTAGTAGGACTCATCCTTAATGTTTTTCAAATTACTCTGCTATACCTTTGAAAAAAACAAGTAAGTTTAAGGAAAGATTCTTGATTTTTTTCTAGAAATTCTTGCTGGTCATTTGCTTGATCCTTCTCTTCTCAAGGAATCTGTGTGATGCTCGCTGTTACTTTAGACCAGCCAGCAAATATGGTAAGAATGGCAAATATATAAACTTCTCTGAAGTGTTGATTCAGAGATTCAAAGCCTTATTTTCTTGGAAATATTGAAATAGTATAACACATTCTTTGTAGAAGAATGATCCAAACAGCTGCATACTCGGGAATCAGCTCACCTGGAGGCATCTCTGGACAGACAGTTCAATAGTTACCCTCTGGGTTGATGTACAGCTGAAGTCTTCGACCATGTGGCAAAACGCATATACTTTTAAGCAGCATTGACTAACCTGAGTGGGATACCTGACACTTAAATCAAATCAAACACAGCACAACTGGTATTTAAATTCAGTTTAGCAGAGCAAGTTGAAGTCTAGTAAGAACTGGGGAAAAGGGAGAAGGGAGAAATTAAAGTCTAGACCTGTATGTTGGATATGAGAAAGGGCAGAAAGATCCTAATGTAGCTGTAAACTGAGGCAATTCTCAGACCCGCTGCAGTAGCAGAGTAGTAATTCTTTGGTATGCAGTTGCTACCACTTTATCATGCCTTATTGTACACTCATACATATCTCAGATGCAAAGACATGGTATCCTTTCTGCAGAGCAGTGGGTCAGATTCTTCACTGGTGTGACTCAATGGAAATCAGTGCTTTGATTGCCAGTCCACAGACATAAGGCTGTGGCCTATGCCTATTGATGCTGAAAACTGACTATTGTTTTCTGGTGTGTGCATGCAGGGTGCCTTTCAAACAGAAACCTCTATGTTTTTGGTGCGGCATGGAAGACTGAAGATTGTTACCAATGCAAGTGTAAGATGACTGCAATGATTTGCTGCAGCTTGTAAGTTCCTCCAAATTATTTTTTGCTTATTCAGGAACTGGTTGAAATGTTCATACTTAAAAAAACTTATTGAAGGCGTGCATTAGAGTTTCATATTCACGTAGGCAAAATAACTCTTCCTATTTTCCAGATAGCTCTAATCCTGATGAAGCAGAATAATCTGGCAATCATATAGATTTCTTTGGGAAGAAACAAAATGAAACACAGCTAGGTTCCTTCAAGCACACAGTTCTTCCTCATCACCATATTGTTCCTTTGATTCTGACACTGATTGGGTGTATGACTTCAACCTCAGTTTTCTTTCTCATTCTATTCATCAGCTTGTCTGTATATACCTAAGCACCCCACTGCACGCATATTTGTGGGCTTCTGCAGCTCTGTACCAGACCAGTGGCCTGCCTGCAAGCATCTAATCAGGCTAGAGCTGTTCTGCATCTTTCCTATGCTGCCAAGAGCCCACCCCTCCTGCTTACCAAAACAAGACACACAGGACCTGCTCTGATGATGTGCTTTCTAAATATTTTCATATGTTCCTGCCTCATGGATGGCAGGTGACACATCAAGGAGAGTTGTGTCTTCCTGAATATGACAGTGTGAACTGATTATCTCCCCAGAAGGCTGGGAAATTTCTTCTTCAGGTGAGGGAGAAAGAGTGCCATAAACTATCTGTGAGGAAGGATACAATGCAAGGAACCCTTGGTGGGGAATGTTCCTGGCATCCTCAGCCACAAGAGGGAGGAATTTGGCCTGTATTGAGAAGAGGTTTAGGTAGGAGGTATTCATGCTGGGGTGATTCAGTACTATTTAAATGGTTTGCCCGTGTCAAGAAAGTCTTAGTTTAAATGGGGAAGACAGAATTAATCCCCATTTTGTCTCTGTGCAGGAATTTATACCAATCCCTAACAGAATGGCCAGTGAGAACTGCTTTTAGATCAGAACAAACATTGTGAAATCACTTTATCTGTTAACAGTCCTGACTGGGGCTCTGTATTCCTCCTGTGATAATCCATAGTGCTTATATTAATGGAATCCATGAGCCAAATCAAATAATGATACAGCTTGCTCCAGGATGGCTGTGGCTCAGTAAGCATCCTTATCTCAGTTCATGTCTTGGCTGCTGATTTTGTCTTTGCCTTTCTCAATGACAGGGTTTTAATCCCCAAGAACTATGACAGGGTGAACTGTGTTGGCCTGTTCCACAAGAAGAGCTGTTCCATCCGAGTGGTGAAGAAGACTAATCCTGACATAAGCTGCAAAGTCTACAATGGAGTTCGTTAAGACCACATGATGTGTTTTTTCTGATCTGTACCTGCCCTGAAAGTTGAACATGCTCTGGATCTTCTTTAGAGGAAAGCAGCAAAGCAGCATGGTTTAAGAAGGAATGCCTTTCACAGCTTAAACTGTGCCACATCTGTCTCATTTCTGACACTAGGTGGTTTATTTTATAACATACACATTTGTAACCAAACTTCACCACAGATAACTTTGTGACTTTTTTCCTATTGAGATCCAGATTGAAATAAATTTTCACATACACCAAATCACTGCTTTTCCTTCTTAGTAGTCACTGATTAGTCTTGTTGAAAATGGAAGAATTCATAGCGTATGTAAATGTTTATAAATCTAACTATTGATCTGGAAACCATCTAGCTTTTAGAGTAACAGGTATTATATGAATTGTTGCCAGATGTACAGATTCATTATGCTATTATGTTCATTAACATTCCTCCAAGGACATGTATACTAGAAGAATAGGATGAAACAGAGCAAAAAATAGCCTTTGAAGCCTCCTCCCATCCTGATGGAGATGTATGAGGGAACATATTCTCCAGGAGATGACTAGTATATTACAAAGAAAAGCAAACTCATGCCTGGGAGTCCAACCTACTGCAAAGAAATGCCATATAAATAGCTCTGTAGACTTCCATACTGGGGTAAAATTTCCTGCAATAATCTTGTTTGGATCAAAGTTCACTGGCAAACAGCCCCATTAAAGCTGTTTGTACAGAAAACCTGGGCCATAAAATGTGTTTAGCCAGTAGACCTCAGGCACTGCGCTGTGCCTGGTACGAAGTCCATGAAAGTGATTTATATAAGAAATATCCTATAAAACATATCTAGACAATGTTAAGAGCAATTATAACAAGAGCACTGTACAGCTTAAAAGGCTCAGATAAGTCCTTTGAGTGTGACAGTTTATTCAACACTGACATCACAGGTATTTTCTTCATCTGCCTTTTTTCTACATCACTGAAATGTATTACAATGAAATATTTCAACAGATGGAAACAACAACTTATTTTTAATATCTATTGTAGAAAACCACAGTTACATGGTCTATTTTTAAAGTGCAGTGCTGAGAGTGTATGAGTAGAAAACCTGCACATACTAATGAAAACAGCATACCAATGATCAGAATAAAACCCATCCATGGCTCCAAGTACTACCAGAAAGTCACTAAAGTGATTCCAGGAAGCAGTTAAAATGATAAATGCAGTTGTAGCTTCTTAAATCTTTAGCCCTCAGAATTAGTTACAACTGCTTAGTAGCAGATCCCTTTGATGACATCTCCTTGTGCCTTCTTGGGAGTGATGGAGTGGGTATCACTGGAGCTGGTTATTACCCTTCCAAACTGCAAGTAGCAGACACTGGAGGAGGACTCACTTTTCTATTTGCTAAGGGTAGATAAGAGGATTTCACCCAGCTACGTATGTATATAAGGGATCATGCTACCAGCTTCCTATATACTAGATGCATTTATGAGGGCCTGCCTAGGGGACAGGAGTAGCACAGCTTTCCTGAAGGCCTGAACTTCATTTAAGCAGTTCAGAAAAATCCCTGGGAAGATACATTAATTACACTAGCTCCCTGCCATGGAAGGAAGACATGGATATGAACAAATTGGAGAAGGTTGAAAACGGTTAAAATATCAATTCTGCTTCAGAGAGAGGTAGAGATTCTGATAAAGCAAAGTCAAACTTAAGGATTCCATGCAGACCTGCTAAGCTCAACTTACACATGGACTATGTACTGTTCCATGGTACATTTTCTCCGTGTGCTTTTGTCATTGAGTACCCAGTACTATTCTTTGTGGACACTGCTCACTGTTTAACAGTGCCAGAGAGAGCAGGACTCCAGATGCTGGACCACAATTAGATTTGCTAAATGTACTGTAGGACAATTTGCCTCTGAAATTCCATGCTCAGAGGAAAGAAAGACAGAGCTTCAGAACTCCATCAGTGAAGGCTGAAATGGCTGAAGATCTGACACAAGAGCACTGGAGGAGACCCTCAGAGTATCCCGACTGCAATCATAATCTCACTCCAGTGACAATCCTGTCACTCCCAGGAAAAATGCTTAATTGCACCTCAATGAATGTTTCTTGATAGAGGCCTTGCTGTCACCATAACCAGTTGCAGAAAGAAGTTATTTGGCCAGTGCAGAGAGGACTATTTCCCTATGCATCTATACCCCCTTGAAACAGATTGTCTCCATGGCGTTCAACTATCTTATGTAATAAACTGCAGAGTAAACAGGACAGTTCCCCAGTGCCTTTCTGTAACAGGAGCACATGCTGTGGACAGAGAATGGGAGCAAGCCTTCTTATTGCCCTGTGGGTAACAGCACAGCCGTGTGTCATGCCAGCTACAGTTTCTTTGCTCCATTCCCTATAAGCAGCAAGCAGGGGCTGTTCCATTGGTTGCTAGAGTCCATGCAAACCTACTGATATGAACAGAATCATCCAGTCTGATCAGAACATGACTAGCAATAGCTGGGACTACGGTACTTCCACATTGCTTCCCAGGAGCAAGTGTCCTGTGTGTAGAGGAATTTCCACTCTCGCACACCCTAATACAAGTACTGCTTGTGCATTTTATAAAAGCCTCACAGATACCCTCTGCAGATACGTATTCAGTAGTCCTCATTGTATAGTGAAATTAAACATGGCCAGATTCAAACCAGCCAGCTCAGGTACCAGCATCTCTTTCAGCAAGGTGCTGAATCAAGCCTACAAGAACCACCTGGATGAGGAAACAGGCATCTGCATCTTTGTCTTGCTGCTGCTGTTGTCACTTCAAGCTAGCTCCAGTATTGTCCCCTCTACTCCACAGTCTGAACAGCTAATGCATGCCAGCTCTAGTCCCACCACATCTCTTAGCTTACACTCAGTGGCTTCTGTGTGCATATAAGTCCCAGCTACACGACTTAGTGCAGGGTTGGAATGACCCAACTGCTGTTCCCACATTAGCTTGTTAATAGTGAGTATTTTCACCCTGCAGTTTGGACATGATGTGGAAAGAATATGCTTGTAATAGGACTCTATTGCAGTCCCATCCACCTCATCAAAAAGTGGCCAGAACCTGCACATAGCAGTTCATTCTAAAACTCTGTCAAGAAGCAAGTCCCAGATGCCACAGCAAAATATTAGTGGCTAGATGATTTCCTGATCCCCTGGTGGCAGAGCCCTGAGCAATCCTTCAGGAACAGTGCTGCAGCTGTTCTTGGTTGACTTTAAGAAGAGAGCAGATGCTAATTTGCCAGTTTGCAGACTCTGCCTAAAGGTCTGAATTGAGAGAATAAAAGTGACACAGCGTATTTTTAAATATTTGGAAGGTGTGGTGATAAGGCTGGCTGAGGAATGCTGCAAGCTGAGGAGGAGACAAGAACAGCTTTGCAAATCAAAATATTCCCTAGTAAAAGGACTGTTTCCTAGTGGTTTTCCTCTCTCTTTAATGTTTTGAACAGCAGAACAAATAAACATATGATAAGTAAATTAAAGAAGAAACAGAAGTGATCAGGCAAGCTAAATAAATAATTTCAGCTTTTCTGGCTCCAGTAAGATAGGAAGCTTTTACTTCCTAAGGAGCTGGCAAGAGGCTCAAGATCTCTGTGGGCAGATACCTTCTCAGCTGGAGCACAGACCTCATGTCCCCTTCCCTAACCCGATCAGAAAGGTTTTTACTGTCTGGGTAAAAGGGAGATGCTGAGACATGGAGTGCTGATTCAAACTAGCTGTAAATAAAGCTCCTGAAAAGGAGCCTGAGAAAAACAGAAAAATAAGCTGCAACTCAGGGATGTCCTAAAGAAAGAACCAGTAACTACAGATAACTCTCCAGCTTGTACTATTCAGTACATAGATTCCAGTTTTATGCTTCTCAGCATTGCAAGACATTAAAAATGCCAAAATATCCCAGAAAGACCTTAAATATTACTGCATCTGCTTTGATTATTTCTCTAATGATGAGAGATGTCAGGTAAGTGCTTGCAGTAGATGGACACATCTGTAATAGCTAGTACCAGAAAAAGTGAAAGAAAGAATACAGTGCAAATGAAAATCAGCTTTTACAGTTAGTGTAGTTGAGAAGAGCTTGTACTTATTTTGATATTGAAATGTTTGGTTTCTGTTGACATGCTGCATGCTTACAAATGAAAACATGTATTTGCTGCAACTACTTATCACACCTTTAGAAGGGCCCCAGAATACCATTAGCCACTGAACAAGTTAAGTAGTTGACCATAGCTTAAAATCCACTTTAAGTGAAGACTGAAATTAGGTTATTCTGATACAGCCCTTGGAAATACTCTGTGTGTTTTCCCAACACAAAATAAATACTTGCAACTCTGATCTCTGCTTTGGTTTTTCATGAAGACATGAGAAAAATGAATGACAACTTGCACTTCTGCAAATCCTTCTTTTCCTCTATTTCCAGTGTTCTCAGTGCTCTTACATTTCTGAGTTCTTTGCCTGAGTAACAGTGTACCTCTTCTGCTTTTGCAATTTAAGGACTTACAGCCTGGACCCTTCCAAAATAAAATTTAAAAAATGGCCTACGATGGAATGGGAAAATTGACAAAGCTGATACTGGTAACATTTTCATCTGTCTGAGGCAAAATTCTCTTTCAGCCCTACAGAAATCTTGCCTCAGCAAGGAGAACAGGATTAGGCTCTGTTCCTGTATTTTGCCTCTTCCCTTCAGTGTGCTTCCACTCGAGTACACACTTGCATGCAGCACGGAGCATGCTGTGCTTCATAGCTCTTTCCTCAAGTTGCTGTTCCTCTCAAGTATTTGTAGAATTTCTGTATTTATATAACAGCAGAGGGAGCCAGAACTTCAAAGTCAGTTGAAGTGACCATAAGCATAAAGCCGAATTCATTGGCTAAGCTGAAGGGAGGGAAGGAAGGAAGGAGTGGGACAGAGGGGGAGAGGGAGAGAGATGCCATCTGAATTACCTACAGAAACAGTGAGGAGAGCTTCTCTTCTGGATTGGTAGGACAC